ACTATTTTCACTAGTTATTTACAATATAAGTACTGTTTTTACATGTAGAACTAACTTGATTAGCGGTTATAAAACTTAAATATCTATGTAAGTAGTAAAAATCACAGGGGAGGGGGTATAATGAGTCAATGAGAATTCGGTGCCTTGTTAGATATCTCTTTTTCCTTTTGACTACCAGTAATCTGCCCTTCAACGAATCTACCAACCACCTACATCTGTTCTTTAGTAATTGGCTTCATTCCTTTTGAATTTTCGATAGAATTTGTTAAATATTTCTCGGTTTTCTGTTTCTGATGTGAAGGCACAAGTCTCCTCATAATAATTCTATTCCGTTAAGTTCGGATTTTGGGTCAGTCATTTAAGGACTTTGCTGCTCTTAAGCAGTCTGGTATTGAGAGCTGAAGTGTGCTTGGAGTCATCATCTTATTGCAGAATCCATTTCTCAGAAAGTATCTTCCCCGTATATGGTGGGAGAATTCCAATTAAAATGTTAATAAATTTAAATGGATCGAACGTCCCTTAAATTTGGAAAACTGGCTGTGTGCCGTGCTGGCTCGTAACTTTCCAAACCACCACTGGTTTATTCAAAAGTTTTAAGGTCACCTGAGTGCAACTATTATTAGAATCTTTACGTATTCTTTTTTTAGTGGATCGTTACCGTTACCGTTACCTACCATCGTTACCGTTCAAAATAAATTTAAACTAGTCGGTGAAGGTCATCTGTAGCCAGTCTGCGTCTGTTCATTGAAAATGTTTTTTGATGAAATGAGACCAAATTTTTCGGTTTTTAGTTAAGACATATGGTTTCTTTTCTTAACTTCGTCTATGCAGACGTCCGTACACAGTTCTACCAGTGATGATCTTACCGTCCTGGCCTATCATTTCTGTCCGGGTGTCTGTAGCAGCTAGCCGGTGGATACACTGATCCATTCTAGCAGTCGTTTTACTCTTTGTTTTTGTGAGTTTAGTTAAGTTCAGTTCATTATCGTGATTGTAGACGCGTAAACGAGCGGATTTCAAAAAATGGGGATATTTTGGAATAGCCAAAAAACTTAAGATTTTCATTTCTAAACATATCATTTACTGATTGTTCAGATGGACTCAAATTTGAACCCTAACTTATACCCACGCTATGGCAACATAATATATTAAAAAGCCAGAGAAAATTTTGGAAATGAGAAGGAAGAGGCAAATTTTTGATATTTCGATGCTTTTTTGATGCAGAACTATATATAGAGTTAGAGGTCTCCTGTACTAAAAATTTTTATATATGTCTAGTTTCCGACTCGTAAGGCTGAGAATTGCAGCATGTGTTTTGGTCTTCAGTAACTTGTTTTTAAACTATAAATTTTTTTATCAAACAACAAGAAAACAAAAAGTTATTCTCACTTACTGTTTATCCGCTTGCGTTATCGATGCTGAAGTCATGGTCGCACTGCACATATAGGCCTTTTCGTTTTCAAGGTACCTCTGAAGTCCGCCCAAAAAGAGAAGCTTTTTTGCTGTAACGGTCCCAATTTTTTGAAAATAAAGCTTGACGCGAATATGATTCTGGAGCGGTATTCATATCATCAAAATGCTTGCTCCCGGAGAATCCCACATTCAGAATCTCGTAAGGAGAAGAACCGAGGTTGTGTCAGTTGTACTAGCAACAATTTTTCATTTTCTTGGGTTGCAGTTCACTTCTTTGAGCTACTCGGTGTTTCTTATAAAGACTTGCTGCAGTTCTGGGGTTTTTTCCGTCTATTCATTCTCATCACCACCCCATGGTCGTTAAAAGGTTCTGAGAACGGGATACTCAGTTTGTTACTTTCATCAAGGAATGTGGATCGATTTTTCTAGTTACATGTCTTTTTCTACACTAGTCTCTGTTTTTCCAAAAGCATGCAGGAAGGAGTTTGTGATTTGGTACAGTTAGTGCGAGGAACCTCTACACACTCTTATGGAAATAAAAACTAGTTCAAAGAAAAGATATTTCAGTATAAAGATCGAACCTTAACCTGTAATATCAATAGGTTGTTCTTAGAACTTTCTGTTAAGCAGAGGCTTCGGAGTGAATGTCCTGGATGAATGAGAAATCTGGATTTGCTGCAGATTTCTAAGGGAAATATGGATTAGCTGGAAAAAGTAACACTGTAACTTAAAAGTAAACGATAGGTTGGTAGTAGTGGGACTAGGATAGTTCATTTGCTAGTTCTTGGAGCATCTTGATAAATATATGGTTTTTCGAGAATGTGCATCTTAACGACATGGGAACTGTCCCAGAACCATATTCCTGTTAAGCTTTATTTCTGAAGAGTTGGAATCGCTCTGGCAGAGGCGCATTTGTTTTCAACGAAGCTGATCATTAAATTATTGTTTTTCTATTACTTTGTATTTGAAATTGAGGTTGTTAGGAACACAGGGTTTTCTCGCTTTTTTTGCATTTAGATTCCTTGAAGCGTGTTTTTAGAGAAAGTGAATTTTTGTAGAGGGGGTTGCCGAGTTTTTTTTTTTTGCAAACTTGCTGTTTGTAAACGCAGGTAGAGTGGTTTTTCGCGTGAGTAACTAAATTTTTTTTCACTCAGTATTTTATTTACATCAACTGTTTGTAAAGAATTTGCTATTATTATGCTTGCCCCAATTGTGACTGTGCGCTGCTTCTTGAATTTTTTGCATTTTCTTGTATTACACAGAAATAGGTACAAATTAAGAGCAGGAATTAGCTTTTAAATTGCATTCCAGAGGATAATTTAGCTAGGGCACCAGATTCAAGTAAAATTCAGCAGTCACTGTGTAGCCGAAAATGTGACGAACGGAAGAAATGTCAAATTAGACTCAGAGTTCCTAGATTAAGTCAGTCAAAAACGCTTCAGTTTAGACTCAAGCCGGCGTTTTACCCATCATTCAGCAAGAGACAGTACGGTATCTCCTTGCTGTTCCCTCATTATACATAAAGAAAGGGTAGCAATAGGGTCTTCCATATATTTGTAAGGCACCTTCACGTATTCCTATATTTCAGTAGGAAAATGAGCTATTTTTGTACCGAGAATATGAAGAATAAACGGTGGTTCTCTCTTTCCACCCACTTTTTTTTTTTCTTAAATTATTTATTTTTTCATCATTATTTTTGAATTTTTTCTTATTTGACAGAGAATTGCATTTCTTGACTTGCTCACTCAGAATTGTGTTTTTTTCAGCAATCGCTCGGCAAACTCCATTTTTTTTGCATATTTCTTCTCTACTATATATGCCAATTATAAAAAAAAAAAAATTAACAGATTTTTATGAATATGGACGGAATAAGTTAAAAAGCATCTGT